ACCTTATGACACATACTCTGATTTCCCTTTAAGGCAATGAAAACAACATTTACTCTGCAGTATTGAGTCCTATGTCAATGCTATTTACATCTGCAAATGGCCTACCTTGATACTGATTTTTTTTTTTTTTCCCAGAAGTATAACAAATTTGAAAATAATTAAATTTATATTTTTAATCTTAGTTATTTCTCCTTTTCATCAAAAAACAATGACATGTTACACATATATACATACATACGCAAGAAAGAAGTCAATACGAAGAATAAGAGCATCCGACCTTTGGCCTTAATTGATTATATCATCAAAATTACTATAAAGAAAACTCAAAATGAGAAAAATGGCAGTAAATTTCTGAAATCTCCTGAAGAGTGAATTGAACAATTACAAATAGGTCACCTATAAAACTGTAGAGTTGAGGTATAGAATATAACATCAATTAATATATATATATATATTTCAAAAATTTATCATCAATTAGGTGTTTGAAAAAACCTGTAAATTTAATTTTACAAGGTGAAAATGATCATTTACATAATGGTATCTTAATTCCAATTGTATAAAATATATTGCTCTGTTTATTATAAAAACATTGTGCTCTGTGTGAATCAGTTTTAATATTTAATATTGTGTTATTAGGATTCACTTGCATTATATGCCAATGGATTACTACCTGTGTGTATATATATATATATATATATATATATATATATATATATATATAAATTCCTAAGAGGATAGAATCCAGGGATCGTGATTACGATTCTAATGTAATAAATTATAACCATGGAATATTAGTGTTTTAAGCCTTATATTATATATATATATATATATATATATATATTCATATATATAAATTCATAGTGCAACTTAGTTTTGTGGCTTTACCAACTCATCAGGTCTGAACTATTACACTTGTTTTTTAAAAAAAAAAAATACTGGGTCTCATGAGAGAAACACAAAATTAAATGCAAAAATTAAATTCAAAGCTCAAACTTAATATATTATTGGGGGGTAAATACAAAATATATTATTGGGGGGTAAATACAAAATGTTGAGTGTAGGTGTGGGGGGGCTATTTAAAAAAAAAAAAAAATGCAAGAGGAACACTGTGTAGCTCATTAATTATTAATAGACACTAAAATGATTAAAGTGGGGGTAATCAATATGTAACCTAAAATATGTAAATGGCATGTGATATTTGAATAATTTATCTATCCAGAATGAAAATACTTTAAGAGAGTTTTTTTTTTCTGTGATTACAAGCTAACATAAATTCATTTCACTTGTTAAGTAGATTTTGGTCATTAATATTTTTGAGGATGCATCTTTTTCCAGCAAACACAGGTGGCATTGGTCACTGTGTCCAGAAAAGGGTGTAGATTTGGTGACAAAATTCCAATTTACTACCAGTGTATAGTCATCTGTTTTAATATTGCATTAAAATTTTGAGAGTGCCATGGCATTTGCATATTGCTTATTGTTGAGTCATTTTATAATGATAATTTTGGGTTTTCCTGACGTTGGCTGTGGAACTGAAATAAAATTTTGTCTTGCCAATATGTTTAATGCTATATTTCTTAGATCTGTCTAACGACATTGAGCACTGTTTTGTTTACACCTTGAATTAAATATTTATTTGCTTACCTGCAAATGCATGTTAACGCATGTATATACAGTTGCTGATATCTAATTATTTGGTTTATATCCACACACACACACATATATATATATATATATATATATATATATAATAAAAAGCAAGAACAATCAGATTAATAATCCAGTTATTAAGTATTTATTTTTTTAAAAAGTGCTCAATACAAAGTAGAGTATAATATTATTTTTTAAAAATATGTTTTCACTGCAACACAGAAATTACTATGTTTTGGAACTAAAAATTAAAATTTTTGTTCCATTTTCAAGAAATGTTGAATAACTTCAGAAAAAAAAATGATCTACTTTTTTAAGCAAATTAGTATTATATTTAAGAGTTTAAGTTGGAGGAGGAATGAGATTCCAAAATTTTAAATGGCTGTTGTCTTTTTTGACAAATCAGGAAACAGGTTGAATCTAAGATAGGAAAGTGAAAAATGTAGGTTAATGGTTCAGTGTATGTAATTTCTGCTTGCTGATATGGACTCTCATGTATGAGAGTCCATATCAGTCTGTCTATCTTTTTAGGAACATACATAAGATACACCAAAATACATGGAGTTATATGTATTGTACCAGGGGTTAATTTTGGCATTTTTATTTTCTTATTTTTTTTCAAATACATTGGGGCTTTTTAAAGGTGCTTCAAATATGATTAAATCATTTTATATATTTATATTTTTAATTATAAAAATCTAAAATGCTATATTTATTATATTTAATGGTACATTAAATATGACATTGTTAAAATTAAAATTTAAAATTTAAAATTTAGGAATAAGTACACATTTTTTTTTATTTGTAATCAAATAATAGATATATAATTATGAAAGTTTTATGTTTTAAAGTAAACATAATGCAATGCATACAAAAGACAATTGTTTCTTTATGTTGATTTAATAAAACTTTATAATTTTTCATGTAGGCACAAAGGACATGGGTCATTTGAAGCCCAATAAGTTCTCTTTTCTTTTTTTTTTTCTTTTTTTTAATAATTTCCATTTTACTGTGGTGGTTTTATTTGTTTCTTTTAAATGCCAAAAATATTTAGATAGGGATGTTTGGCTACAATACTCATTGTTTTTTAAGGAAGGCAGTTGCTGGTACCATTTTAATTTAAAATCATTTTTAGTGCTACCAATATAAATTTTTTTAATATCTAGATTTTCAATCAATGAAAGAATACACTGGTAAACTATAGATTTTTGGGTTTAGAAGAGATGGATCCATACCCCTTTCCTAAGGGTATCAGCTCATAAGTGAATATAACAAATTTGACTAGAATTCCAACTCAGATCTGGCTTACAGACACCTCATGTAGAAACACTGGTTCACCGAAATTTAAGCAACATTGAGCCTGATCAGTACCTAGATGGGTGGCCACTTGGGGATACCAGGTGATGTAAACTTGGATGTGTGGATGGTGTAATGTCTAATGGTTTGGAAATCTTAATCGGAGAGCAAAGTTCTAATTCCAGTTGGATTTGTTGTATTCACTTATGTGCAAATACTCTTGGGAAAGGTATGAATCCACCTCTTCTCCCCCCAGCTATGGGTTAATTAATAAGACTTGTATCACTAAACCATTATTATCTCCACCCCCAGCCGTAGAAAATTCCAGTTGGGTTTGTTATATTCACTTACGTGCAAATGCCCTTGGGAAAAGTATGAATCCATTTCTTTGCCCCCCCCATATATGGATTAATTAGTAGAACTTGTATCAGTAAGTCATTATTATCCCTCCAAAATTCTTAGTATCTAAAAATAATTTTCTGGCATTAAACAACCTGCAAAGGTTTGATAAGCCATAGGAAATGAATGAATCAGTCAAATACTGATTAGTTACATAGGCATATGTTTTAGATTTATTTACATTCTCTGGAATATAAATGTATAGAAACTAGTGTGGCCATAAAATGAGGGCTCAGTTTATATATTTATTGTAATTTAGAATTGAACCCCCCTCACTTTATAGACACATTATAATTTCTTGTTTGCTTATCAAATTCTGATTGGGTAGAAATTCATTTCTCCCCCCCTCAGCTGTGGGTTAATTAGTAAGACTTGTATCACTAAAATCATGATTATTTAAAAAAAAAATCTAATCTAAAAAAATTTTTCTGGCTTTAAATAATCTGCAAAGGGATGATAAGCCATAAAAAATGAATCAATCAATTGATCTTGGCTCTCCTATTTCTCATTCTGGGGCAATATCCACCACACCACCCATACATTCACAAATATAGATAAGAATGCTTTTTAGATACTATATGACCACTATATAGCAGTCTTGTGCCATAAATTTTACATTTTATTCCCCATTTTGATGTAATTCGATTTCCTCTCTCTCTCTCTTTTTTTCTCCACCGTCATTGGCAGGTGCTTCATACAATGTGGCAGTTTAAGGAACTCAGTGGCGAATATAGAAAACAGGGATATACTGAATCGGACTTCATCACTAAAACCTCCACATTCAGGTAAGACTTTGTTCATGCCTTCCTTCACATTCCTACCCAGAAAACTGGTAATTTACAACAAAAGGATTTGATATTGATTGTAGGTTAAACTTTGTGACCTCTACAAATATGGGCAGCTAGAGGCTAAAATTTTGATCTGCATAAGGATTATTTATATTTTTTTTTTTTTTTTTTTTTTTTTTTTTTAAATTGGCTTACTGTGGTTTGGTTTGGTTTATTTTGTTTTAAATAGGTTATTTAATGCCAACAAAATTTTTTATTGCTGGTAATATTTTGTTTTGTCAAAAATCTGTTTCTGGTAATATTTTTCCTTCAAAATTGTAACGCTGGTAATAATTTTTTTCAAAAAAGTATTGCTGATAATAGTTAACTATTTACCCATAGCTGGGATCCTAACAGGTGTTACCACCCTGGGTCAGGGTGGACCTGGGAACACCAACAATTAAGAGGTGGTTTCACGCTCCTCAAAACCTCCTGATCAGAGACCTTGCTGCTGGACGTAGTTTGACGTCTTACCCAGGACACAGATGTAGTTTAACATCTTACCCAGGACGGTACTGTGGTTTGTAGGTTTTTTCCAGGGTAATGAGCAAAGATAAGGATGTTAGTCTGAATAATTTGATAAGTGAAGATAACACTGTCAAAGGAAAAAAAAAAAACAATGACTGTTCCTTTTCAAGATAATTATTCCTTGTATAAAAGACATCTCTACTTGGATACAAATCCCTCAGTTCAATAGTACGTAATAAAGTTATTTTCTGATACTCATTTTCTTTTGCTGGTTTTGATCTTACAAAAAATTCAAATAAAAAAAATGTTAACAAAAATGTTATTTCAATTTTTTGATTCTCTTAAAAAAAAAAAAATTGTTTTAAATGGCAGGAATGAACCCACACTTCGAGATAAGATTAAAAAATATAAATAAATAACAGAATAATTACAAAGAAGAAATATACATTAAGTGTCCAACCCAAAGAAATTCTGGTAATTTTTAACCTTCATCAGGACAGTTTTTCCCTTGACACTGCTATTATTTTAACTACCTTCACTCCTTTTTATTGTTTTTAAAAAGTGATAAAAATGTTGATAAAACCTAAACAAATGAAAGTGAATTTATACATTTTCTTTGTTCTTTAGAATTGACAACAAAAATAATAAACACTATTCAATTATTTCCAATAAAACATCAGCTAATTGCCAAATGATTCAAACTTTATTAAATGGTAAATAATAATATAATTGTACACTATTTACATTATTCAGACTGTTGTCCTCATCTTTGTCGCTATGTTTATCACAACATTTTGGCCATTGTATGCTCCGGCCTTCTTCAGGTGGTTGGAATGTCGAACTGAACCTTTTATTTCACTCACTGGGGTAGACTGTTCTAGTTCCACGTGCCATGTCTAATGGATGTCAGTTATCTCCTATTAATTCCCCTCTCAAAGTTCTCCACCACCTTAACCTCATCTCAGAAATATAGACAGATACCGAAGATAATTGTAGTCGGTTCACATATTTTAATAATTTAGTAAATGTTTGTAAATTTAAAAATTTTCATATTTATTTCTTAGATGATAAATATTGCATTGCATTAGTTTTTAATTGTCTTAGTTTTTAGAATATTGTAAGTTATAAGATTATTCTTGTAAATAAACAATCTAATAAATAGTGTTTTTTTTTTTCTTTTCATTTGTTTATAAACTTTATATATTGTGAAATCTACTGATAAGAATATTATGAAGCCAGAGACACAAACCAACTACAATAGTGTCATTCATTGCATAGCATTTAAACTGGAGTGGTGTTCAAAATTGGAATTTATTGACTTTTGTTTTTGTTTTTTTGTCTGGTGTCAAAGGTTTTTTTATGGAGAACGTATGTTAGAAAAAGCTTGTGTATTAGGAATAAAGATCCAAGGGAAGTAACTCTGATGGGTTTAAATTTCATTTCTCAGATGAGGAATTTCAATTATCATTATTATACACTGATTTATTCAAACTGTTATCCTCATCTTTGTTGTTATAGTCACCACATTTCTGCTATTTCTCGGATAAGGAATTATCATTATTATACACTGATTTATTCAAACTGTTATCCTCATCTTGGTTGTTTTGCCACAATTTCATTTGAAATTTTCAGAAATTTACCATCTACAAAAGCCACCTGTAGACAGCTAAGGATACTCTCCCAAGAAGATCAGCATATAATAAAATTTTACTCAACATGGAATATTGATGTCACTTGCTGAAAAGGGATTATTTTGTCTGCATAAAATAAGTGAAGGGAAAATGTTCTGGTAGTTGTATGCTTTACTCTTCATACAACCAAGATGAGTATGGGGATCCCAAATTCTACTTCTTCTATGTATCATGTCCCTTCAGGACGTTGCCATTCATGGCTCTCCACAATTTCCCATCCTTTGTAACTCTTAATAAATTTTCTCTTTTTCTCTTTTTTTTTGTTATCCAATCTCTCTCAAAACCTAGTTCCTAGAATTATCCATTTACTGTCCTTTCAGCTCTTCAAGTAAATTTCATTTTTCTTCTATGTACCATCCATTCCATTCAGGACTTTTTTGTCCATTCAAACGTTGGTGATCATGGCTCTCCACAATTTCCTGTCCTTTGTAGCTCTTAGTACTTTTTGTTTTTTTGTTTTTTTTTTGTTATCTATCCATTTAAACCTAGTTCTTATATTTATCCATTTACTCATGGCATTCTCAATTTCCTTCTTTTAGCTCTTATTAAATACCATTTCCATTCAGGACGTTGGCGAATCTATGTAAATGTCCATTCATGGCTCTCCACAATTTCCTGTCCTTTGTAGCTCTTCTTAGTAAATTTTGTTTTTTTGTTATCTCTCCTAAACCTAGTTTCTTCTTCTATCCATTCCATTCAGGAAGCTCATTCTAAACCGATGGTTTTTAAAAAATTTTGTTTTTTTGTTATCATGTCCCTTCAGGACTTTGGCGATCATGGCTCTCCACAATTTCCTGTCCTTTGTAGCTCTTAGTAAATTTCTTTTTTGTTAAAAATTCATAAATTCATCCATTTTTTTCTTCTTCTATTATGTCCATTCTCCAAATCCTAATTTCCTGTCCTTTGTATCTCTTAGTAAATTTTATTTTTTGTTTCTCTCTAAAAAAGTTATTTTCCAAGTTCATGTTCTTCTATGTACCATGTCCATTCAGGACGTTGGTCTCCACAATTTCATCCTTTCTAGCTCAGTAAATTGTTAAGAGTTTTGATTTTTTGGGGGGATAAGCTTCATTTCTTTCCCATTGTCTTCAGGAAACATGGTGATTCATTATTTCTTGTCCTTTACCACATCTAAAGTTTTTTGAATAGATTCCAGTATCATTTGTCAAGAATAGTACCATGTCCATTCATGATCATTTTGATGCCATATATATTTTAAGGATGTATGTGATTCATTGAAATATATTGAAAGATACACAAATGGATTTAGATATATTTTTTTAAGGATTTTTACCAATGTGGATTTTACATTTTTTTTTTTTTCTCAAAGGTTGGGTTTTTTAGGACTAAAGGAATGGTACTGGGGTACCTGCTGGCAAATATGTAAATACGCCGACAAGTACCTTAAATCGTCCTATTTCTGGCCAGGGTTATGATGACAGCACTTTGTCCCCAACTAGGCCTCTTACAAAGAGCAATGCACCAAGCAACTATCCTCCTCGGGAAAACATTGATGGCAACATGGGTTGGATGCCAAAGATGAACGCTAGTGAAAATGGGTCTGGAATCTGTGAAGGGTCTGATGGTAAGATATACCATTTTTTTTTTTTTTTTTTATGTTTCAAAGATTTTTTTTTTTTCTTTTTATGTTTCAAAGATTTTTTTTTTTTTCTTTTATGTTTCAAAAGTTTTTTTTTTTGGTGATAGTAGTAGTAGTAGTAGTAGTAGTAGTAGTAGTAGAAAAGAAAAATTTGTACAAGTTTTGTGTAGATTTTTTTTCATTCTTTCCCTCACAAGTTTTGTCCCTTCTCTTTTTTTTTTTTTTTTTCTTTCCCTGCCCCCCCCTATTTTTCCCACCACTTCTTTCTGTACCTTTTTTTTCTTTCTCCACCCTCTTTTTTTCTTCCTTTCTGTGATTTTGTTTTTTTTTCTTTCTCTTTTTATTGTTTGTTAAAGAACAAAAAAAAATTATGGCTGGGTTTCCATATTTGTTGGATCCTTATTATCATTACCATCCAACAATCTTCTAGTAAATTCCATCTTTGTATGGTACCTTGCAATCTTTCTGATGGACTGCTTTGCATGTCTGCATTACACAGCTTATAACTACTGTAAACATTTATTCCAGGAGAGAATCTTTGTGATGTTTCTGTAGTTCTGCCAATGTTCTTACCAATCCCTGCAGCCTTCTTCAAGTGTGTGTATGTATACATACATATATATATATATATATATATATATATATATATATATATATATATATATTATAAATTAACTGATTTAAAATATGGTTTCTTCGCTACACAGGAATTACCATGTTTCAAAAACAGAAGCTAAAAGCTTCAAATTTAATTATATAATTAAATTAAAAGCATTAGTTCTGTTTCATCTTCAAACGAATTTTGGAATAACCTATTTTTAAATTTACTGAGTTTTAAACGCACAAACAATTCATAATTTTTTTGTATTCAAGGATACAGAGAAATCCAATCATTTAGACAGGGGCAGTAGCATGTTCATTTTTATTAACTATTATTGTATCAATTATGAGTTACATTAAAAAAAGAATTTAAGTTTAGGTAGGGTAGTGGTGCATTTCAACGAATTTTGATATCTGTTCAACATACGTTTAGTTTTTTTTTTTATCGATGACAAAAAGGTTTTTGGTATTTTTTCCATTAAATTCGTACTTGAATTCTTTCTAATACCTATACTCTGTAAATTTACATTGAGCACTGTTTTGTAAAAATAAAAATATCAATAAGAGCACAGGATTATATATCTTACTGTTCTTTCTTTTTAT